TCGTGGAGCCTGCTGAGTTCCGGCTCTGAGCTGTCAGACAAGGCCGCAGATGTGACGATCTATCTGCTGGAGAGGTGATGACAAGCCTCCTACAGAAACACTTCCCAAGACGCCCGTTCCTGGGAGATACCTGTGGAAGCTTGCTCGTTTCGAGCACACTCCTCGCGGGCCAAGCACCCACGCAGGGAGTGTCCTCGCACATTAACGCACGGGGCGGTGTGACCCCGCACTGGGGATCTTCAGGGACCCTGGAAGAGGAGACGCTTGAGCCAGCTTGTGTTTGAGAGGCTGCCTGCAGGCCCCTCTGGCTTTGGCGACGAGACGGAGTGCTGACACGCGAAACAGCCTTGCCAGAAGCAAGCAAGGAGCTACTCATGCATACAACTTATGCTCATCACAAGCTTTGGTGACAAGATTTCGAAGACCGGGCAGGCGTGCCATCGCCGACGCATGGGACATTAGCAGATAGCCGATAGCGAGTTCCAGGCTTGACCACCTTTCGGCTGCTTCTGGGGCTGCTCACCTCTGCAGCTTCGGACGCAGCTGGGCCACGCGCAGCGTCTTTGGAAGCGCAATTCGTCGGAAGCTGCACCGGGTGACTATGCCCTACGGATCAAGGCACTAGTTGGGACGAAGCTTCCCAGGCTTCTGAGCTGTGGCCATCATGCCCTGGAGACTACAGGCCGTCTGTGGGCCCCGACACTAGATCCACGAGCCCTCGGCACCTCCCAAGCCCAGCTGCAAGACGAGCCCAAAACAGGATGCCTCTGTCAGGCTTGCCTAAAGCGGCTTTCTTGAGACCAGTGCGACTCATGGGTCCTGGCAGCTTCGAGGTCTTATAGCCCCCTGGTTTTAGAGGCAACCACAGGCTTTTGCTCACTTTCTGCCTCGCAGCCTGCAGAGAGTGGGTGCAAAAACCTCCCGAGGCCAGGGCTCCTCTGAGTTTCAACGCCTCAGCACGCAGAGAGGCCTCCGGCCCTCAAGGCAGCTCACCCTTTTGGGGGGGAAAGACACCGAAAAAAGCGCCCTAAACCCTAAACCTCGGATCAGAAAGAAACAAGAAAGCGCCTGCTCCAAGACCATGCCCTCAGCAGCCTCTTGGGGGCAGTGACACCCTCTGGGACGGGGGCTTTGCAAGACGTCACTCCCAGGAGACAAGGTACTGTCTCTCAAGCCGATCTGTAGTACCACACCGAAGTATCTCGCGCCAGCCACCCCGAAACCCCAAACCCCTAAACCCTAAACCCGAAACAGCCAGTTTAGAAGCGCAGGCCGCAATCGCAAGGTCAGCTACGGGTAGGGCCTGGGATCTTCGCCTAGAGGCTCAGAAACTTGGAGGATGCGGAAGCTCAAGGCCCTTTGGGGATTCGACACACCCGGCCGATCCTGGCAGGGTATTTAGGGAACCCCCAAAAAAAGGAGCCTCAGGGTTTAGGGTTTAGGGTTTAGGAGCCTGGAAGGATCCCCCAGCTGAGATGTGCAAGCCGCGGCTTTCTCGAGGGGCGCAAGGCAAGGCGGTTGCGACGTTGCACCCAGCGAGTGCGAGCAGAGCCCGAAGCCAGTCGTCCTTGAACGTTTAACCCTAAACCCTTAACCCTATAGGGTTCTCTAATAGGAGTTTACGGCGTTCAAGGTCGTTTCGACGGCACGGCCGGGCTCTCAGCCCCAAGTTCAGAAGGTCACGCTGCTTTCCGGTCGCAGGGAAGAAGCCCGTCAGTGGACTGGAGTAAAACAGGGGCCCCTGTACCCGTATACTTTATACTAGGGGCCCCATGTACCCTCATACTTTGAAACAGGGGCTCATACTATGAATCCCAATATGGTGTACCAACCTTTAACGTGATGTCAAGGCTGCGGCCGCGGTCGGCCCTTGCACGGCTGTGGGCCCTTTCCACCTCGCAGGGCGACTCGGCGAAGCCGCCCGGATTGGAGCTGTCGCGGAAGTGCCTGCAAGGCCCTCGCGGTCCTTCGAAGCTGCACAGCACAGAGCGCCGTCAGCGCAGCGGAGTGTCCCTCAAGGCAGCTCAAAGAGAGGGGGAGCAGCAAAAGTGAACCGGATGACTTGGTGCGTCGAACAAGGCAGACTCTGAAGGAGTCTTCGCACAGCCTGGACCCCAGTGTGGGAGGCCGAAGACCATCTTCGTGCCCGACGGGACGCTTTTTTCACGGCCTGGGGGCGCTTCCGTGTCACGGAGCCGCAAAACCTGCACAGGGCGACCTGTGCGTCATGGCTCAGGCGTTGAAGTAACGTGAGAGCGGGCAGCGCTGGCCCGAGCTGGCAAGGCCTCCACGGAGCGACGCGCGGACTTGTGGAGAGCCGTGCGCTCAAACGCGGCCATGACCGCGGAAGCTTCTGAGCTTGAGGCCACCGAACTGCAAAGAGCCCTCTCCACTTTGGACTTGTTGTATCGTCTGCATGGTGGGGAAGGCTGGGCAGCATTCTCTGCCTGCCTGAAGGACCAAATGAACCCTAAAAGGGTTTAAGGTTCATCTAGCATATAGGGATTCATAGCATAGAACTTTAGGGCCCCTACTTTTACGGGTCATTTCGGCCTTGAGGTGAGGACTCTTGCCAACAATGTGAGCCTGCCGGCTCAGGTAAAGGCCACAGGAGAACCCAATCTCCGCAACTTTTGAGGCATGGTTTAGGCGTTTAGGGCAATTTTTGAGGCATGGTTAGCATGGAATCACTCAGACATGCTTACTTTGCAGACGTTAAAAAACTGACACCTGTGACCACATCCTTGGAAGCATCCTCGAATCAGAGATCATCTTATGGATTCAGACCTATGTTTTGCTGGACGTTTTACTCTCCCTCCCGGACATGCCTTAGGCCATTGATGGCCTCCCCACTGATGATTATTTTGCATTTGAGTAATCCCGCAAGCTTGCGCTTTTCTGCGAAGCATTGTCTGTCATTGTCTTGGATTTGGGCACTGGCGCGGGTCAACTTGCAGCTCTCTGTGTTCCGCCGGGGGCAGAGCAGTTTAGGGTTTAGGGTTTAGGGTTCAGGTTTGAGCCGTGGATGCCGGCAGCGAGCTAACTTCTCCTGCGACTGCTTGCGCAAAGCTGCAACGAATCAGGTCGACCTCAACTCACCCCCAGCAACGCTTACATGACCCGGGCATCCTGCTCTAGGATGCCGTGCCGCAGCACTCCCAGAAGAACTGTGCCAAGTCAGACTTTATCCTGACTAGAAATTGGACGCCACTTGCGGCTTCCACGGAGCCGCGAGCCCCGATCTCTGACTCGCTGCCTTCAGTCGTGGGCTTTACCCTAAACCCTAAACCCCTAACTGAACAGCCTGCAAGAGATTGCTTCAGTCTCAACTCGCAGCCCTGACACCTCCTAGCTCTCTCCCCCGAAAATTGGGCACACGTTGGGGAGCTGAAGACTTTTTTGGCGCCGATCAGCTCTGCAAGAGAAAGCAAGATGCATGCAACCATGGGAGGAAGATCCGCATGAAGACCTGCCGGAAGAAGGGACCTGCAGGCGCTAAGAAAAGTGGCATTTTCCGACCTTTTTTTAGCCGACAGGAACTCCAGGAAGCTGGCAACAGGGAGACCCTGGTCTCAAGCCGGGGCCATCCCGTCGGCTTCAGATCAGAGGTCCGTCGGCCGTGTTAAGAGCTGTCTGGATCGGGTCGGGGAGGCGGCCGAAGGCTAGGAGAGGGCCCTCAGAAAGCTCTCGTGATGAATCTGTGGCTTGCAGCCTGCTCCACACTAGCAGACTAATTCTCAGACAAACGTCGCTTCCAGCTTCCGCAGCAGACCACATGCCTCCGTCCTTCGCCTTGGGACAGCTGCACATGTGCAGGTGGGAGCCGCCACAAACGCCCGAGCACTGCAACGCGCTTCACCACTGCGAGCTTGAGGGTCGGGAGCGGATGCCAGGGACTGGACCTTCAACTCTCTGGTTCTTAGTAGGGAATGGGGGAATGGATCCCTATGATCGTCCCTTAAGGTCCCTCATAGTAGTCCCAATAACCCATTCCCCCATTCCTTACTAAGAACCAGTCAAGGGATTACAAAGCCTGTTGAACTGAGCAGGAGGAGACACCACCCCATCATCAGCCGCAGGATTCGGCCAGGGCAGCAGAGACTGCTCTGAGACTGGGACGCTCAGACAACGCTGAACAGGTCCGTGCAGCTGTACCGAAAAGGAACACTTAGCTTCTTGGGCGACACGGTGCCCTTTAATGTGAAAGGTAATATTCGGAATGGAATGCGAAGCAGTCAGCTGGCATCCAGCGAAGCTGGTCTAGACTTGCGGCGCCTGTGGAATAACTTATGGTACAGGTAGCATGGATTTATTAGCAGATAGCGAAGCCAGCATCCCGATCACGAAGCGAAGAGGGTCCTGTGCACATCAGAACTTTCGCCATGCTTCTCTGTGGCCCTTGGGAAAGGCACCTGCACATGTGCAGACGGGAGCCAGAACTGACCGGGTATCCGCGGGAGCCCTGCGCCGGAGGAGCGTTCGAACGTGATTCAGAGCTGCAGAGATCTCGTCAGAAGTCGCAGGATGTGGCCAAGTGATGCCAAGTTGTTCGGCTCTCGGCGATCATGTACGGAGTAGAACGCAACAATGCACTGGGAGGCTTCATGGCCGAGGCTCATTTGCACACCTGGCTGCCCCTAGGCCCCTGAAGGCCACATGCCCCTGAAGGCCACCGAGGACATGAAACTTCCCGCAAAGCTGGTCCTTAAAGGGTACTATGGGCTCCTTAAAGGGTTCTATAAGGGCTACTATAAGGGTACTAGGGGTCCAGCCTCCATGCCTCATGGATCCGAGAACAAAAACGACGCCAGCATCTCCCCATCGAAGCCCAGGCACCCCACAGGAATCCCGGTGCCGTGGTTTAGGGCTTTAGGGTTTTACAGGGTTTTATAGGGTTTTTAGGCCCCTCCCCGGATTGCGGAAGCTGTCCGAGAGCCGTGCGGCAAGAAAGTTCATGGAAAAACGCGGCAGAGCTTCTCGAGCCGTCTGACATCTGACGGCTAGGCTGCATGTGTCGCATGCGCTTCGGGATCAAACCTGATACAACGAGATGTTGCGCCCAAGTGCAACATCCAACAGAAGCTCCCGGCAGTCGACACTTGCTTAGCCAAGCAGGCCAAGGTCCGAAAGAACTCCTGGAAGGCGAGAGACATATCTCTCTCGTGAAATTCGAGGAGCTGAATTGCACAAGATCCCATCCGCCCATCTGCCACGGGCCTGCTGCACACTTCAGCGTGAAGCTTTGCACTCCGACCAACCTGAGTCAGGCGGCTGCAAGAATGCCGGAAGTTCAAACTGACATTCGGCTCTGGCCAAAGCCCAAATCCGAAAGAATGCCCAGCTGAATGTTGGTCGAACAAGCTACTTTGTGCTTCTTATGGCGGTGCCGGTCTCCTCCCGTGACACCCACCAGCAGCTTGCTTTGCAACCCTTCTTACCAACTGAGCAAATTCGGTCTTATGCAATGGTTTGAAGCTAACCACACCTGCCCAGATGTCGAAATTTCGAGCCCAGAGGGAACTTGTCTTGCCGATGAAAAAGCAGTTTGCCAATGGTCTGCTCGCCAGTGAGCTGGTAGAGTGACCTGAGACCCCGCTAACACAAGCACTCATCCCTGCAACAGTTCACCGAAAATGCAAACAGCTCACGTCGTGTGCTTCTTCTGTCATCATGAAAAGCCGAAATGCAAGCGCTCTTGGCCGACAGGGTGGGTGTCAGGGCGGCTGCGTCATGATAGCCCGCGAGAGCATTTGCTTCCATCGCGGATTTCCATCAACTGTGGAAGCCCTCCTGGCCAAACGGAGTCCTGAAGCACAGAGGGGCGCATCGTCGGTTCCATCCCTTTTGGATGGCTCTATGGGCACCAACTGCAAGGAAACGTCACGCGCCCGAAGGGTGTGGCCGGGCGGCTAAACAGGGCACCCCCTTTCTTGTCCTAGACCTGATCACAGCAAAGGAGCGCGACGCCAGAACGAGCTCAGCTTGGGCCTGGATGCTTCGAATTGGGGGCCGGGCCCGGGCTTTAAATCTACGAAAGCCTCCAAACATCTCTCCGTGCGTCAGGCGGTGCCTTCGAGGACTCGGAGCTTTCAGAGCACTACAAACTCGGGGCCACTTTTTGGGGGCCACAGAGAGCTCAAGAGATATCCCCCTCCGCAAGCTGCTCCAGAACTGCAGAGCTCAAGGTGGCTACAGTAGTTCCTTTTTGGGATTACGTCATCGGGTCCTAAATATAGAAGCCAGCCATAGGAACCACCATGGAGCCCCTGGCTAGCTTTTGGAAGGGGCTGTTGCGGAGCGCTGCTGCGTTTGTGGCAACACTCACCGTCTTTTAGGGGGGAGCCCTGACAGCGCCAGCTTTTCTGCAGGCGCGTCACCATCGTCATAGTGGCCGCTTCCTGGTGGAAAGGCAGAAGGCGTGGAAGGGACATGGAGTTTCAGCTTCATGCGGATGGGACTCCAGAGCACTATCGCACAGACTTCCGAACCTGCAAGGAAGATTTTTGGATACAACCTGTCGAGGCTGCCGAGGCTGCCTGACGTCACACAGAACTGGATGAACTCCAGAACTCCGGCGAAACAAATAGCCACGAACTTTGGCCAACGTCAGGGTGCGCAAGCGAAGAGAGGAAGATGGATCTTCATGCATTTTGGGTCCAGCCTTCAGGCCAAGCACCCAAACCATCCCACAAATGGAGACGGATACTCGCACATCAGGACCCGAGATCCTGCCTGGGATATGTTTGAACCCGCGCGTAGAGCGACATTCCCCCACACTCCCAATAAGAATGGGTGCAGTCACTAGAGGCGATTCGCAGCAGGACCGTCATCTGCAGCCTCAGAGCGCTTGAAGCCGGATCAACGGGGGAAGACTCCATGTGGAGCTTTTCAGCAGGCGCCACAAGGCCCGCTGGTCACCTGGAAATCCTGAGGCCTAAACCTCAGACCCTGAACCTGAAACATCCTCAAACCCAGTCGAGTCGAGGTCATCGCCGGGGAGAAGGCGGAGTCACTGCAGCGAAGCATCGGAGAGTGCTCCGCTGAGGCCGCGAGACTCGCCTCGAGTCGCTTCCTGCTAGAGGTTCAAAAACCCTAAACCCTAAACCACTAAACCCTAAACCAAGACAGGGGTTCTACAAGGGATCCACAAGGGTTCTATCAGGGTTCCACCCGTGTCTGGTGTAGGGTTTACGCCCTCCCCTGACTCCACCGGAAGAGGAAGTCCATGGTGGAGGGACTCGTCCTGTGACCTGGAGAGACACCTTCGAGGGGTGAAAGTCTCACGAATTGCAGAAGGCGGCTTGCAGCACCAAAGGAGGGTTTAGGGCTTTAGGGTTTGGGGTTTAGGGTTCAGGGTTTAGGTTTTTTGGCTTTTGCAGGCCTTTGGGTTCAGAGATCAAGCGCGTGTCAAGCCGAATACCAACTCCATGACGGTTCAGAAGAATTTGGTAAATCTGCCTTTCACCACGCGACAGCGCGTGAAGCGCTTTCTCAGCCGGGCCTCACCGTTACGGCATCGGGGAGATGATTGGGTCAAGTATCCGGAGGTCCAGCACCTAGGACGGTATAGGGTTCAGAGGTTCAGGGGTTTAGGGCTTAGGGCTTAGGGTTATTCAGTTTCATTGATGCAACATGAGCTCCGAGTTCGAACCTCAGATGCGCAGCCTGTTCAGCCTGGTTGCTTGAGGCGTTGGGCACGAACAAGCCTTCGCATGCAGATGCTGCGTGGAAGCGGCAGGCTATGAGGAAAGGGGTGAATTGCTGTGACCAAGTAGCTTGCAGCACAAACTTAGCAGACTTTGTGGGAGGCACTGACAACCGTCTTCGCCTCGTCATTTGTCAAGTATCGACTAAAACTAAACGGAGACGTAAGAAGTACGCATTGGTAGCGTTAATGCCGGCGGATCTCCGAGCAAACCCGTGCTTCCAAGCCCAGGCATGCTTGCAGGACATGTCAATAGTCAGGAGGCGTACCGGAGCCCTGTGCAGCTTGCGCCGGTCAGAACTGCGGCATCAGGAATCAGTAATCTCGGAGGCAGCGGCATCCCAGCCGCTGCTTCGGCAGTGACCCTAAGGCACTGCGGCATTGCTGACGTTTCATGCAGGTGCAGGTTCACGAGTCTGGCACCCAAAACAACAGCAGCACGTGGCATGGCACGGGCTGCAGCGTCACATCCGTGGGAACGAGGGGTCTGGGACAAATAGATTCCAACGCGACCAGCCAAAACGGGTTCCAAGTTGCTGGCCAGGAACACGTGCGTGACAGCCCGGAAACCCTTCGGGAAATGCTTCCCAACCTTCTGAAGCTCTCTTACAAGCAAGGCTCTTGCCGCTATGCGGGCGAGAACATCCACGCACCCACAGCCCCAGCAGCACCCACACGGAGCGGCGAGGTGTAAAGACGTCCTTGCATGCAGGTGCAGCTTTATGTTCTTCACCAAGCGGGTCCGGTCAGATGGTCTCCGCTGGAGCTTTAGTTCTGGCTCAGGAGAACGGAGGCATCGAAGTGCAGATTGCATCAAAGGCAAGTGAAGGCCCACTGCTGGGAAGCAGTCATGTGCGGAACGAAAAAGCATGCAGAGTGTGCACGCCACTTCTGCCGCATGTGGAACTAGAACACAAGCCCGCCGCTTGCAAAGCGGATGGCATGTGGGGACTTGGGCAGCCGGCGTGCTGCAGTGCTCCGCAAAACCTGCCAAGCCTTGTGCAATCTCTGACCATCCCTCAGGATTCGGACTCTAGGGTTTCGGGTTTAGGGATGTTTAGGGTTTAGGGTACCTCCTTCGGAGCAAGACTCTCAACTGTACGCCCCAATGCAGGCCCCAACACGCTAGGCTTTCGACACTGGTGGTACAGTTGGTGCGGGGTCAGGGTGCGCAGAGTTCCGTGCTTTCAGCTCTGCTATGCGGCTTCGCGGGGGAAGAAAAGAAACCTGCTGGATGCTCCAGGACAACCCCATCGCTTCTCTATGCTTAGTTCAGTTTGGATCTGGGACACTAAGCGACTGGGGCGTCTGCACATGGAGTCAACGGTTTGGCTGCTCACGCAACATGCGAGGCTGTTGCTCTGAAAGACGAAATCTGCACGCTCCGGGAAACCACGTGTAAAGACAGCCGCCCTGCCAAAATCTCACGAGCGAGCTGGCTTGGCGGAGTTTTACTTGAGGCCATTGGTTGGTTTGTTGGACAAGACTCGTCTCAGAGCGTTGGTGGTAGTAACAACCTGGGCCTTAGGCTCTTGTGCTGCCGAGTGTTGGAACTGGCCGCTTGAGGTAAGCTGCTTGAAGTGCTGCCTGCTACTACTCAGAATTTTCTTGAGCCATTAGACTTGCTTGAGCGATGGAGAGAAAATCATGCAAGCAACAACGTCGGTTCGAGGCTTGTGTGCCTAGCCTGAACAAAAAACAGCAGACTACAGGCTAGCACTTGCCACTCTCACGCTCTGCCCAATCCAAGAGGGTCGACACCCAACAGATGATCTGTGCCTCACTCGCTTCAAATGTTTTTGAGGGTTTAGGGTCTAGGGCTCTTTTTTCTACGGGTGCGGGCACGGTCCAAACGTTCACAGATGCAGTGTTGAATGCAGCATGTTTACAGGCTCGCTGAAATTCGTTTGCGGTTTGTGCACGTTTGGTCGTCAGTAGCTCGCGATGTGCTACCATACTAAACAAAGTCCTAAACCCTAAACCCTTAGCCCTAAACCCTAAAGCCAAAACCCTAAACCCTCAACCATGTTACCACTGCCTTCACGACTTCCACAGGGATCCTCTCTGCAGATGCTACAACCGAGCAGATGGAAGCAGCCTGTTTGCTGCTTGGTACCTACACACAAACGCCAGGGCAAGCTTTTCAAGCCCGGAAGCCACGATTTAACCTCAATGCAATCTGAGAGTTGACTGATTGACAGCTTCTCCATACGGCGGAAAATAACAAAACCTGCACATTACGCATCATAAGGAATAGACCATACTTCCCATAGGTTAGGGTCCTTAAGGTAACGAAAGGTTTATATCATCAACCGTGGGACGCGAGCCGCAATTGGCTCACTCAGGAAAGCCCTCGGGCTCCGAGCTGGCTTGGCCTGCTGAACAGCTGCCACCGCCTGATCGCTCTGGGCTGGGTTTTGGGTTTTTAGGGTTTAGGGTTTAGGGTTTATGGTTTAGGGTTTAGGGTTTAGGGCTTCGAGTTTAAGGCTTGGGGCTTAGGGTTTAAGGTTTGGGGTTTAGGCTTAGGGTTGGGCGCCTCTCGGAAGGATGGATGGGCGACAACACCTTAGTAAGGTCCCCTCGAAGAGCTCGGGGTTCTGGGGCCCAGGTATCACAACCCTTGTGGGGACAAAAGTCTGGGCCCTAAACCCTCGACATCCCTAAACCCTAGACATCCCTAAACCCTAAACCCTAAAGCTTATGCCCTTAGGCACTAGAGCTTCGCAGGAGCCCACGGAGGACTTAAGGAAGCCCAGGCACAAGTGAATAGCAGCCCTGCTACGGCCAACAATGTGGCGGCTAACGGACGGTTTAGGGCTTAGGGCTTAGGGTTTAGGGTTTAGGGTTTTGACTCCTCGTACACCAATGAGGTGCCAGGGATGAACCACCAGAAAAAATTTGCTCACTCAGCACACCCGCCACAACCATCCCTACGGTGCAACGCTCGATGGATACGGTGACCCGTACCAAAACTCACAATTTAGCTCTTGCGTTGTTTACATCACGACACAAGAACCCTAAACCCTAAACCCTAAACCAAAACCCTAAACCCTAA